CCCCCCCCCCACGGCCCCCTTATATTCGTACATGGAATTATTTTCCCATTTGCTTTTCGTAAAACGCACTACGAGTGTGGATGCACGTGGAAGAATTGAAAAAAAAGTAAACGCGTGTCGAGAATGACAAAATACCTAATACGTTTTTGGTATCTGATATTGCGAAGAGAGACGTGAATTTAATGCTCGTGACGTGTTACGTAATTGAATCAATAGTTTTCGGTGTTTTCCGAGAATCTTAGGGCGAGTTGCCAATAACGGTACAGACCTCGGCGTCTCACCGTATCGCCGAGTCAAAAGGTGCGCGCGGGACTTGTCGCCGATATGCAGAATACGTGGCGAGTGTGGTGCGCATGCGCAGAATTGTTCGCTGAACCGCGCCGGTAAAAACTCGCAGGGTAACCGAGAGATCAGAAAAATTCTATGAAATCAGCGATCTGTGAAGGCCAGGCGCTCTGCGAGACGGCCGTTAAAATTTTCAAACTCCGATCCACCGAAGGTCTTGAGAAATTACAATTCCTAACGGTCGGAAATTGATGGCGATTTCAAATGTCCGCGTTCTGTCTCCCGCTCGCATATCCAGAGCGATCAGGAGGAGCGTCACCGCGCCATTGCCTTACAAAAAGAATGTTTACGTTCAAGACGGCGGGCATGGACACACCGAATTCGTCAAAGGTCCCCTAAGCTCAGTCCAAACCAACCCGTTCTTCTCGTCCTCCTCGTCGTGATAGTGTTGCGCACTAGTTTCGAACAGCCGAGATCCCTTGGCCGTCACTTACTGGTAGTTCCGAACTTCGCCGCCGCTGGCAAAATACGCGCTACTATCTACATACACTGTACGCATATATATCATGACCCTGTGTCCGTGACGCGGTCGATCTCCCGTAACGGGAAAACAACGAAAAACTGAAAAACAACGTTACATAATCATCATAAATAATTTATCGAACATCCGCGTCAAACGACGAGAAAGACATAGTCCGAGTGATAGATAAAGAGAGAGAAAGGGATAGATACAAGAAAAATTAAAACAGTCGGGACCGAAAAACTTTTCTCTGTAAACTCGACATTCTAGGAAAGAGATATAACCCGTGCATCACTACGCATCGCTAAATATCCATCACCTAGTATATTAAAGCCGTACAGTGCGTCTCTGGATTTAAGAAAAGAAAAAAAGCATTGAAAGAGAAGGCTAAAAAATTCTCAGAAAGCGCCGATGCGTGAAGGCCGAGAAGCAAAAAAAAAAGGAAGCATTAAAATTTTCGAATTTCCAGCGCGTCCCGCCGTGGCGCAACCGTCGACTCCCACTCGTCCTACGTTCAATGGCGGGAAAGAAGGGCTGTTATGGTAGGATGAGGATTGGACGATGACGTTGGACTCGCGTTTAAAGGATGTAAACTGGAGGAAACAGAAGAGAAAGAGAGAGAGAGAGAGAGAGAGAGAGAGAGAGAAACAAAGGAAAGATGTGCACACACTCTCTCTCTCTCTCTCTATTCGTACCAGCGACAGCAAGACGTCAGGGACGACTTTGCGAACGTGCGTATCGCGACTACGGCTTTGCGCCTACATATACGCCATTTTGAATTTGCGATCGTGACACTGTCGTAGAGTGTGACTCACGTTGGTGTGTAAAGTGTGTTGAGTCGTAGGGGTCCACGGTCACGAAAAATTCAAACTAATATACGTGCGCGGGTCGAGTAAAACAAAGCGCAAAAAAAGCGGGCCGGCGTAGGAGTGAGAGGGACGGGGAGTGGGAGTGGGGGGGGGAGGGCGTCGCAAGGAGGGGAAGGAATGGATGAAAAAAAGGGCAGGGTTGAGCGCCAAGGAGGGCGAGAT